ACAAGGAAGTCCCAGCCAATGGCGTGTCGGGCTCCTGTCTGCATTTGGTGACACATGAGCGTTGCTCACGTGCACGTGGGAGGCCAGGTGGCGTGTTTCCCTGCTGATGGCTGTGTCTCCTGTAGAGCTGAGCCTGAGAAGAAGCCCGCGCATCAAGCAGCTGGCGCTGGGCAGGACGACATCTGGCCCCTTCTATTCTGCGTCTCAGCTGCAGCCTCGGAGTGTGCAGAGGGCTCGCTCGTCTCAGCAAAGCCGGTCAGGTAACGTGCCTGCCCCGCATCTACGCTGACTTGGTGGGGAGTATTTTTGGGAAAAGCAGTGAGATTTGGCCTTTGGTTTCTGGACATGGGAGCAGTAGAGCCGGTGAGTGTATTTGAGGTCCGGGTGATGAGCAATCCCGGGTCTATGATCCGCATCATCCCTTCGGATCTGACAGCGGCCGCCCACACCATTCCCGTGAGGAATGCGTCCCCTGCAGACGGCGTGACCTGCGATTCCCAGCCTGTGCTCACGTCCTACACACGTCCCAGGGGAAGGCGGTGTCTGTGTGTGTTTCCGACCATGGGGCCTGGGTTAACCGCAGTCTCATTAACTCTCGGGGAGGCAGCATGACCGTAGTGGTTGCTGACGTCATCCCCTCCTGTTCTCGCCTTGCAGACCAGAGGGGGTCTCCTCCCCTCCCGCGGATTCGGTCTCCGAAGACGCTGCTTTTCGGGGCCGTGTCCGAGGTGGTCGGGCCCTCGGAGGAGGGCGCGGCTCGACGTACAGGGCCTTCCGGAGACACAGTGGCCTCTGAGATGCCGACAGCTTACCAGGTAGGACATGTCTATCGTGTTTAAAACCGTCTCGGGGAGCAGACAGACGGCCAGGGAAACACTGCGCAGTGACGGGGAGGCTCACGGTGCTGAGTCGCCTTCCTTAGTGACCAGCTGAGGTGGAAATTCCAACAGGCAGCGTTAGGTTGGCAAAACGTTGGACCCGCCTTTAAAACTTTTATTTAAAGTTGGAGATTGTCCATATTTCATTGCCCCGGCGTTTAGTCCTGAGAGCAAGTCCGGTCAGTGAAGAGGTTGGTCTCAGTGCCTCAGGCGGCTCCCAGTGAGGCCGGCCTTGTGAGCAGCAGCCATGTGCGTCTGCAAAAACAAAAGGACCTTTAGCAATTACAGAAGGTAGGTAAGGGACAGTGTAGAAGAAAGAATACAGACAGAGCGCAGAGGGAGAGGAGAGGCAGGTCAAAGACAGAAGTGAGAAGAATGAAATCAGGGAGATGGAGACAATAGGGAGATCAGAGAGGAAAGTGAGTTCTGAGAAGGAGAGATATCAGCGTAAGAGAGAATTCAGAGAAGAAGATCGGGAGATTAGATTTTAGAGAGGGTTGAGAGAGGAGAGAAGGAAGAGATTGAGGTGATGAGAGAATTTATGAGAAAGAAGATAGAGTTCAGAGATCAGATAGAGAAGAGTGGGATAACGGAGGGAGGTCAGTGAGGAGTGAGAAATGAAAGGCAGAAGACAGATCTCAGAGATGGAAATTGGGGACAAAAAATTAGAACAGAGCGGAGAGAGGAGTCAGGGAGAAAGAAGATTGAGAGCTTGGAGAGAAGAGATGGGGTAGGGAGAGGAAAGTGAGATCAGAGAGAAATGAGAGAGTAAGATCAAAGAGAGAAAATGAGTTCTGAGAAGGAGGAAGAAGAGTGGGGGCAAAGAAAGAGTAGCCGAGAGATCAGAGAGAGGGAATGATGCAGATCAGAGGGAGAAAGTAATGACTGAGAGAAGGGGGAGCAGACAGAAGGAGAAGAGAGGGGAGAAAGAAAGAGAAGATAGATCAGCGGGAGAGGCAGATTTGGGAGGGAAGAGTGGGAGCTCAGAGAATGGAGTGAAATGAGAGAAGAGATTGAGCTCTGAGGGAGATGAGCAGAGGGGAGAGAATAGAGGGAAATTAGAGAAATGAAAGGCAGAAGATATATTTCAAAGAGATGAGAGAAGGAGTTGAGAGAGAAATGAGAGTCAGGGGGAAGAGAGAGAGAGAGAAGAGAGATATCGAGTGGTCACAGAGAGAGTTCAGAATAAATCAGGGGAAAGCTATATGGAGAGATAGATGAAGCCAATTAGAGAGAGAAGAAAGTGAGATGTGGGATAAGATAATAGTAGAGGGAGCTCAGACAGAAAGAAGAGAGAGAGGGAGAGGATGAAGGGAGTAAGAAATGAGAAACACGGAGGACAGGGAAGAGATTGAAAACAGAGCAGGAGAAGAGAAAGAGAGAGCTCACAGAGGCAGAGAGAAGAATGAAACCAGAGAGAAGAGTGAGAGTGAGTTCTGAGAAGGAGGAAGGGCACACAGAAAGTAGGAAGAGAGAAGAGTGCGAGATCGATCAGGGAGTGAAGAGGAGTTTAGAGGGAATGAGAGAGAGTTGGAGATCGGGGTGTGGGAGAGAAAAGATAGGGAGATGAAGGATCAGAGTGGGGTAAGAGAGTAGAGGAAGCTCAGGAGAGGGCGAAGAGGGAGAGTGAAAGAAATGATTGAGAGACAGAAAAGAGTGAATGGAGGAGATCAGAGTGAGTGAGAGATCAGAGCGAGAATTGATGGAAATTAGAGAAGGGAGTTCAAAGTGACAAGATGATGGGGGGGGGGGCTCAGAGAAGAATGAGAGAGAGTAGGAGAAGAGACATATCGAGGTGAGCGAGTTCAGGGAGAGAGAGGAGAGGAGAGAGAGTTCAAAGTGAGAAAAAGAAGAGCAGACGAGAGATCAGGGAGATGAGAGGTCTCAGCGAGAAGAGCCTGAGTTTGATCGGGAGGGAGATCAGATAGAGGAAAGAGAGAGAGAGGAAAGGCGGAAGAATGATTTCAGAGACGAGGGAGAGAGCAGGATCAAAGAGAAAATGAGTTCCGAGAAGGGGGGAGGACGACGAGTGGGGGAAAGAAAGAGGAGCAGAGATCAGGGGAATAGAGGGGAGTTAGAGGAGCATGAGCTCCATCAAGGAGTGAAGAGGGAGCGATCAAAAGGAGAAAAGGGTTCATGAGGGGAAAGAGGGAGCTCAGAGAGGAACTGGATAGAGGAGAGAGACGACTGGGTAAGAGAAAGTAAAGGGAGCTCGCGGGGGTGGGGGTGGAGTAAGAAATGAAAGACAGCATACAACTCTGAGAAATCAGGGAGTTCGGAGAAGAGAGTGAGAGAAAGGAGTGGAGAGAGAGGAGATGAGGCCGGTCAAAGACAGAAGAGAAGGAGAGGGGAGTAAGAAGTGAGAGGGGGAAGAGACTGAGATCATAGTGGAGGAGAAAGAGTATCAAGAGGTGATGAGAAAATTTATGAGAACGAAGGTAGAGTTCAGAGAGACAGGTGGGGAGAGAAGTGAGAGAAGAGGCAGGTCAAATTAGAGAGGGCAGAGTAGAGAAAAGCAGATGAGAAAGAAAATAGTTCAGAGGGAGGTGAGTGAGGGAGTGCGGAGAGAGAAAGGAAAGGCAGAAGATAGACCTCAGAGGTGGAAATCAGGGTTCAGAGACAAGAAATTAGAAAAGAACATAGAAGAGAGGGCAGAGGGAGAAAGAAGTGACGAGAAGAAATCAGAGAAGAGTGGGAGTTTTGAGGAGGACGGAGAGGGGAGAGGAAGATTGGGGGCAAAGAAAGGGTGGCAAGAGATCAGAGAGCGAGAAACGAGAACAGGTAGGAGAGAGGAGTGTGAGCTTGATGAGGGAGTTGAGAGAGTTGGAGATCCCAGTGTGGGAGAGAAAGAAATGACTGAGAGAAGGGAGAGCAGACAGGAGGAGGAGAGAGGGCAGTAAGGAATAAGAGACAGAAGAATGAGATCAGAGAGGGAGAGTTCAGAGGGAAGAGAGATGAGAGAAAGAAGATGCAAGTCAGAAGAGAGTGAAATGAGAAGAATGAGATTAGAGAGAAGCGAGTAAGATTACAGATACAAAAGAGGGAACGGAGGAGGTCAGAGTGAGGGAGCGATCAGAGAGAGAATAGAGGGAAATAGAGAAGAGCAAGAGATGAGAGGGATGAGTTAAGAAAAGAACGTTCAGGGAAATGAGAGAAGAGAGGGAGATCAGAGAGAGAAGATATATGTCGAGAGGTCACTGAGAGGTGAGATAATTCAGACAAAAGACAGCGTTATGGAGAGAAGCAGATGAGAGAGGTCTCAGAGAGGGAGAACAGATAGAGGAGAGAGAAGAGTGTAGGCAGAGTGAGGGATGAGGAGAGAGAAGGGATACAGCGAGAGAGGCCACAGAGAATTCAAGAGGGAGAGAGAAGTGAGAGGAACGAAATCAGAGACTGAAGAGGGAGAGCAGAAGGGGAGCAAGAAGATGGGAAAGAGCAGGATCAAAGAGAAAAGGAGTTCTGAGAGGGGAGGAGAGTGGGGGAAAGAAAGTAACGAGAGATCAGAGAGAGAAATGAGAGAGCAGGGGAACAGAGGGAAGAGAGAAGAGCGTGAGCTCGATCGAGCAGTGAAGAAGGAGAGATCAGAAAGGGATCAAAAAGAGAAGAGTTCATGACGAGAGGAGAAGGGGGAATTGGATAGAGGAGAGACGATTGGGATAAGAGAAAGTAGAGGAAGCCTGAGGGATAAGAAATGAACGAACATACAATTCAGAGAGAGATGAGGGAGTTCAGAGTGAGGGAGAGAAAAGACAGAGAGGAGATGAGTGAGGAGAGCATTCAGAGACAATAGAGGGATGTGAGATTGAGCTCAGAGAAGAGCCGGAGATCAGAGAAAGAATAAGTGCAGAGAGGGAGATGCCCAGAGAAAAGAGGCGTCAGGGAGATGAGCAGAGAGAATAGAGGGAAATTATAAAGAGAAACGAAAGGCAGAAGAGGTAGAGAGGGTAGTGTGGGATAAGGGAA